GTGGGTTATGGGGCTGGGAGTGTCTGTAGGGCAGAGTGGGGTGTGTGCACAGGGGTTATGGGGCTGGGAGTGTCTGTAGGGCAGTGTGGGGTGTGTGCACAGGGGTTATGGGGCTGGGGTACATCCATGGGGCAGTGTGGGGTGTGTGCACAGGGGTTATGGGGTTGGGGTACATCCATGGAGCAGCATTGGGTGTGTGTGTGTGGCAGTATGTCCCAGTACTGTATGCAGTATATAAATACAAATAAATAAATGTATATATATATATTTGTACACATACCCACGGGTGTATCAGCACAGCATCAGCTGGCTAGGAAAGGGTATGGCACATCCAGAGGGATCCAGGGAGCCACTGCCTGCCTGGTTATTCTCATGGTAAAGCTCTGTCCTGCTAATTCCCGTTTAAGACACTGAGGTTAATCCTGGCTGTGCTCTCCAATCACCATCCCAAGTACTCTGCCTTGTTCCTTTAATTCCACGTCCCTCCTGTGCCAACTCTCTCTGATTTTCCCTCTATTTTCTTCATTATTTCTTGTGTTTGTGGAAGTTTTTCCTTCCCCTTGCTCTTGGGAGCGTTGGTTCTCCTTGACAATAATTGGATAAAAGGAGAAACTTGAAAGGCTCAAACCCCAGATTAAAAATATACAATCCTTCCCTTTCTGTTTGATTAACCTCTTAGTAAATCTCCTCCACCACCTTTTCCCAAGTATTACTGCAGCCAGGTTTGCACAGGAACCGGTGGTGACTACCTGTGCTTTTAATTAGCATCACCATTCCCAAATAATCTTTTCATCTGCTAGCAGATCTACTTATTCCTTTTCCTCTCTCCCTCCTCCCCGGCTGGGCAGGAGGAGCTGTCCCTCCCCAGCCAACCTGGGGACAGATTTCCCTGCTGACCTGGAGCTCCCAGGAATGATCCAATGCTCCGAGATGACTCTGCCTTACTCCATCAGCATCATGGAGAGATGCTGAATACTTCTTCCACTCTTTTTTTTTAGCTGATTTGGGCTGAAAAGAAGAGGCTGAACAAAGGGACAGATGTGGTGGAGAAAAGGGGTCCATACATCATGAGCAAACCTCCCTCTATTCAGGCCAAGCTGAGTAAGTGATGCTTGGTGGTCTCTGCTGGCACTTTGGGTGTCATTTCCACCTTTCTCCCACAGCTGGAGTTACCAAAAGCCCTTTTTTAGCTTTGGTGGGATAAAACCTTCATAAAACCCCATTAAAAACCCATAGGGATGCCTTTGGAAAGCACTGCACTCCACCCACGCTCACCTGGAACACCCTCCTCACCCATTCCCCAAAATAACAAACCCTTTGGGAGCACTTGGGAATTCTTCTCTCTATCCCTGTGCTTGGCTTTCAGAGAGGCAGCGGGAGCTGGCAAAGACAGCACTGCGAAGGCAGGGGCTGCTGGGGCCACCCACTGCCCCAAAACCAACTCCTAAAAGGTCTGATCTCCTCTTCCTCTTTAGAAAATGTATTTTTCACTTTTCTTGGGGAGACTGGGAAGCTCAGAGGATTAAAAATGTAAAAGTTTGGACCTTATTCTGCTGGCTCTGTTTGGCTGGGATCATCCAGAATAATAAAATATACTGCTTTTTTCTTTTTTGGGGGGATGATTTGGTGGTATGGATTTATTTGGGTATCCTGGGTGGAAGGAGTGGGATTCCAGCCCTGGCTCAGCTCCATGGATGTGTTCCTGTGCTGGTCTCACTCCTCTGTTTCCTGGCAGGTCTGTGAAATTCAACAAGGGCTATACGGCGCTCAGTCAGACAGCTGATGAAAACCTGGTCTCCTTTGACTCAGATAGGTGAATATCCCAGGATTTGGGGTAAATATCCCACAATTTTGAGGTTGGGCATGCTCCCAGATGGCTTTTTTGGGGGTTTGATTTTCCTTGTCACTGGTGGAACATCCCTGATGGTACTGGGCACCTCAGAGCAGTGAGACACTCCTGTTGTCCCAGATTCCCAAGATCCCTTGAGGTTGCACTGCCAGCTCCTTTCCCCCTCCAAATCCCCTTTTTCTGCATTCTAAAGACCCCATTCTTTTCCCCCTTAGTGACGGGGAGCCAGGATCCAGGTGTTCCTCAGGATACTCCTCCGCTGAGGCAAGTGTGGGGCTCTGGCTCTGACACTGTGGGGTCCCCAGGGGCTCCCTCGCTCCCCTGACCCCTCGAGGCTCTGGCTAGGGGCTGGAAGCATCACCCCACAGAGCGTGGCTGTGTGTCCATCCTGCAGAGCCCCGCTTTGTCCCCCGCAGCAGGTGACCCAGGACCTGAGCCGGCAGCTGCTGCAGGACGGGTACCACCTCGACGAGGTCCCCGATGATGAAGACCTGGATCTCATCCCCCCAAAACCCGCTGCCTCCTCTTCTTGCCCCTGCTGTTTTGGAGAAAATCTCTCCTGCACGATTCAGTAGCTGCACAAGAACAGGTCAAAATCCAGCACTTTCTTTGTCCCGTGGGATGGGTGGTGGGTGTCCAGGTCTCACGGCAGGACGGTGACACAAGGACTGAACGATGCTGCTCGTGGCAGAGACCAACTGACCCCAAAAGACTTCTCCTTACACTCAGCAATAGCAGGGGGAGGTGGCACAGTGACATTTCGGTGTCCTGGATGGGACCTGGCACTTGGCTGGGGTGGGAAGGGAGGTCAGGCAGAGCCCAGCACCTTCACAGGGATATAAAGGGAAGGATTTGGGAGTTTCTAGGGTTGGAGCTAATGGCTTATTCCCATTCTCCTCAATGCTGCTTTGATACAGGGGAGACACAGCCCAGGCCCCCCTGTCCCAGCTCCACACAGGGCTTGTATTTGGGGGGCTGGAGAGCCTCCCTGCTGCAAACCATAAATGCTGCCTTAAACCATGGTCCTGCTCTATGACGTAGAGGACAATCAGCTTCTTTTACAGAAACCTTATTTAAGTATTTCATGTCAAGAGACCTAAACCAATTGGGTGGGGGGCATGGTTGTTTTTGTATTTTACTTGTAAAAGGGAGCACTCAATAAAGCAGATCTCATTACTCAGAAGGGGTGCTGGTGCTGTGAGTGTGTTTGCCTCATCACATTTTACTCCTTTCCTGTGTCTGAGGAGCAACAGGGGGAGTCACAGCCAGTGTTGGGGGGATGCTGGAGCTGTTCCCAGCCTCCCTGGCTCCCTCCACCACACTGCCCTTTGCCAGGGACAAAGGGACAAAGTCACCTCTTTATTCACAGCAGTGGAGGGTCTCCCGCTCCATCACCCTCCCCACGCAGCCCCCTTTTACAGCCAGGGCAGGGTGACACTGGCTGCCATCAGCCAGGCTCGGGAAGAGCCCAAGCAGCAGACAGCCTGAGCCTGCTCTGCTCTGTGCCACATCCAAGGAGTCGATCCACGGAATTGCTCTTTCTATAATCAGGGTTAGTTTTGGGATTTAATAGGTGGAGGGAAAACTTTCAAGCGAGAAGACTTTGCCCACACCAGTTTCTATCTACTCAAACATGGAGTGCTGTGGAGGAAGTGTCCCAGGTCCTGCTCAGAGGAGGCAGCAGGCTCGGAAGAGCAGCATCCCGTCGGGCGAGGAGAGGTGGAGGGAGATGCTCTCGTTGGCCGAGATGAAGAGCACGGAGCCACGGTGCAGGGACATCTCGGAGGCTGCGGCTGTGGAGGTGCCCACGGCCGTCCCTTGGATCACCAGCAAGATGCTGGCAGAGTCCATGGCAGAGATGAGGTACAGCTTGATGGAGGCAGGGATCTGCCAAGGGAAATGTCACTGTGGCTGGAGTCCCCCTCAGCTTTCCTCCTCTCTGGAGAGCTGGAACGGGCTTGTCCCCATCCCCACCCCTTTGCTGTGCCTGCAGCAGCCTAAGCCCAGGGACCTCGGCTTGGCTGAGGCTACCCAGGACTTCTTCCCAGTTCTCCCTCTGCCCAGAGCTGCTGGAGAAGGTTCCCAGGCAGAGGGAACAGAGGAAGGATACTTAGCCCAGCACCCCATTATGCCCAAGCATCCCTCCCTCCTTGCCAGGACACTGATTATAAAGGTGAGTGTTGGGCTGTCCCACCTGGAGCCCAGCTGGTGTCCCCAGCACGGGTCTGTCATCGCTCACCTCTATCCTCAGGATGCTAAAGTCTGGCACGGGTGGGTCATAGAGGTAGACATGGGGATCGAGCTGGCTCTGCGCCGCTGGGAAGATCTTGGAGCTGCTGGGTGCTGGTGTGTAGTTGAGCATCTCACACAAGGTGAGCACATCGATGAACTTGGGGGTGAGCCCGGCGCGCACTGTGTTATCCGAGCACGCCATGATCTCTACGCAGTCTGCAGGGACGAGACAGTGCTGTCAGCCCACCCCAGCCCTTCTGCCTGTCCCCAGGGCCAGTCCTTGCAGGATGCTGGGATGGAAGAGCCCCCTGACACTCACCTCCGTGCAGGTAGGCGTGGGGCTCGTTGGCTCCCAGGAACATGGCCTCCCCCGGCTCCAGCCTCACCACGTTCAGGAAATAAATGGTGAAGCAGCCAATGTCCCCCGGGTACTGGGAGTGCAGCCGCAGCAGCAGGTCCCCGCTGCTCCCCGATGTGTCCTTCCCTTCCGCTGCTGCACAAGAAGGGACCAGGCCCAGCGTCGGGAGGGGGCTGGGGGTGCCCCAGTCTCTCCCCTAAACACAGCCCTCCAAACTGGTTTGGGGTGTTACAGCCAGGGCCCACCTTCCTGGGAGATCCTCTTCACCAGCATGTTCAGCTGGTCCACGAAGAACTTCTTCTCGCTCTTCATGAGGCGGGTGAAGCACACGCGGAGGGCGGCCGAGACCCCACGGGGGTCGTCGCTCCCACTGCGCTCCAGCTGCTCCGCTGCCACCTCCCCGATCAGTGCCCGAAGCTCGGGGACATCTGTGGGGCCAGCCCCAGTCAGAGCCAGTCCCCCAGCCCAGGGGAGAACCGGCACCCCCAACCCAGGAGAGCACACTCACCATCCCCACAGCCAATCCCGTCCCTGGGGAGCACTGCCCTCACCCTGAACTCCATCCCAAGGGACCACAGCCTCCGTCCACACTCCAAACCCAAACCCAGGGGAGCGTGGCCACCATCCCCACCCTGCATGCTATCCCCAGAGAGCACCATCCCCACCCCAAAGGAGCATGGCCACCATCCCCGCTCCGGTCTGACCATGCACCCTCCCTCCATCCTTACTCTGGAGAAAGGAGACAATCTCCTCCACGGGCCGGAAGCCACACATGCCCTCGAAGGGGGTGAGGGCGATGGCCATCTCGGGCTTGTGGTTGGCATCGGGATAGTGCTCAGGGAACTGGGCGTGGAGCTTCGCTGCCAGCTCCTGGAGAGAGGGGAGAGGGAGCTGGGTGACCTCCCCAGGGACACGGGGTCCGGCTGGGCTGCCCACCCGGGGCTCTCCCTACCTTGTTGGGGTGCGCCTGGACAGACAGGGCGGTGTTGACCGACAGCACCTTGAACAGGAAGGGCAGGCATCCCTGGAAGGCGTCCTTCACCTTGGCCCCCAGGCAGGCGGGGTTGTCGGCGATCCACTGGCCCAGGGTCTTTTGTGGGATGCGGTTATCCCGGATGAGGGCATCGCCCCGGGGGTGTGCGCCCATCCACAGCTGCGAGACACCGGCGGACAGGGGCACCCTGAGCCGGGCAGCCAACACGGATGACTCGGGCTTTTCCAGAGGCTGACCGGCCCCAGAGGTGATCCCTGGCAGCTCCCTCGGGGGCTGAGTCATTGCCGAGCCTCCCTCCAGGCCAGGGGACGTGGGACAGCCCGGGGTCAGCATCACGGCCCGGCAGGACGCGGGGATGGCCAGAGCCACAGCCACAGTGTGGGATCAACACACGGATGGACACACAGATGGGACGGAGACACGGACAGAACGGACACAGAGACACACTCACCTCAGCGTAGGGCTGGTCGGGCTGGATCTGGACCTGGGGGTCACCACTGGCCACCAGCTTGGCCACCTCGCTCTCCAGGCCCACCTTCCCCCAGGAATAGTTCTGCACCACGCAGGAGNCCGCGACCCCCGGCCCTGAGGGCGGCCCGGGACCCGCTGCCCGAAAGTCCTCCGGTAGCGGGGCTCCCGCTCCCCCGCCCCGCATCCCCGTCTGGCCGGGGCTCTGGGGCCCTTCTCCGTATCCCCCTGGGCGGGGGACCCGTACCCTGCCCGCAGGTCACCCCCGAGCTCTGTGACCCCCCTCAGGGGCCCTCCTGCTCTGTCCCCGGGCCTCCTCACCTCGGGGAGGGCTCTCCCACCGCCCTCGCAGCCAGGCACAGCCTCCCCTCCCTCACCTCGCCAGGCAGCGGCGTGTGGAGTGGGTTTGCTGCCTCTCACGATGCACAAGAGCTGGGAATGCCTATTCTGAGGTCTTATTAAAAATTATCCATCGCTGGAGCTCTCTTGGCCGTGCTGCGTGGTGCTCTGATTGTCCGCTGGGTCTCTCTGGGTCTGCTTTTAAGGCGCTTAAGAGTGAGTTCCTAAGGCAAAGCTTCGTGGCTCAAAGCAGGGGATTCCTGTTAAGGTCACTGAGGACTTGGTTTGTGTTCGCTGGGTTTCTCCTCTCTGGGATTAACCTCTGAAAATTGGGGTCATTTATGCAGGGAGCTGGCCTGGAACAGCCTCTGGTGTGAAAATCGGTGTCTGGCCTTTGGATCCCATCTGTGAGCTCAGGCTCAGCTTCGCTGCTTGGCTGGGATGTGATCCACAGGAAGGAGTGTTTTCCTGACCTTGGATTCCAGGGCTGAGCCAAACACAAATTGTTTGTTGATGAACCTGAGTCTTTTGAGGAATCAGAGTTAAAAAATTCTTTCTTTTCTTCCTCACTTTCATTTTGGTCTTTGTATTCATATGGTCTTGTGACTCTGAGGAATGGGAAGAGTTGGGACAATCGTGTTCCTCTCAGTTTTGTTCCAAGGGGGTGGAATATATTGCCTTTCATGGACATGGGATTTGTTGCTTTGGCTCTGAGGAAGTAAATATTCCTAGAATCACAGAACTGTTTGGGTTGGAAGGGAAATGAAAGGTCATCCAGTCATCCAAGGGCAGGGACACCTTCCACCATCCCAGGCTGCTCCAAGCCCCATCCAGCCTGACCTGGGACACTTCCAGGGATCCAGGGGCAGCCACAGCTTCTCTGGCCCTGTGCCAGGGCCTTCCCACCCTCACAGGGAAGAACCTCCTAATATCCAATTTAATCTCTGTCAGTTTGAAACCATTCTCTGTTCTCCTGTCACTTCAGGCCCTTGTAAAAATCCATCTCCATCTTTCTTGTTGTCTCCTTTCAGCTGCTTTGTGCACATTAAAGCTGTCCTGGTATCTGACAGAACAGGGCTGTGCTCACTCGGTATTCACTGTTCAAACAAAAAAAGGTTGAAGGTGATTTCGAGCCAGTAACTCCCATGTCAGGCTCACTTCTTAACGAGGATTAACACACATCCCACCATGGATTCTCCCGTGACAGCTCTTTGCAGCTCATCCAGTCCTTGTGGGAGGTTCTTTATCCTCCTCTTGGGGCTGCAAGTTTTTGTCTTACCTCATTTCTTTTTTTCAAGAAAAATTCCTGAGTCCCCAGCAGCTGGTTGAGAGGAATTTTTGACTGCTGCTTCCTGGAGCCTCAAAGCCTCGTTGGTCCGGTTTGAAATGGAATCCCAGCCTGTGGGACAGCCTGTTCCCTGCCAGGGGCTGGATCCAGGTGTTGGCTCTGTGCTGGGGTGACAGTGTCCCACTGACACCCCCTGACATGCTCTGGAAGGAGCAAAAGCCTCCTCACCCTCCCAGCCCGTGGATCTCTCTTGCCACAGCACCAGGGTTGTCCCTCCTTGCTGAAGCTCCCAGTTCAGTGCTTCATCCTCCTCAAATCCTGACATGACTAGGATTTCTGCCTTTTCAGGAGACTTTGCTCATGATATTCGTCAAGCTTTGTGTAAAATGAGCTGCTTTGGTCCTGTTAAAAATATCTCTGGCTGCTCTGTTACTTATTGTAACCAGTTAATGAGAGATGATTAACTTCCTTCCTTTATCTAGTAACCTACTGGAAGTGGCAGCTGCCTCCAAAACTTCGATTCAAGCTTTGGACAGAGCTGGAAACTTCCATCCTTTTCAGAGATATCAATAATAAAATCCTGAAGATTTCTCTTGGTGCATCTTCCAGGCAGTGGCAGCACTCTTGAGTCTGCAGGACTTGTTATATTTGGGGTAATACTGTGATATTTTGACAACTGTGTTAAGCTCCAGGTGATTCTAGGTTGAGCTCATTTTCCTTGATCTCATCTAGAGAGGCCTCTCATTTTGTTTCTTTCATCTGTGGGAACAGAAAGAAAAGAAAAAATAGCATTTCTCGCACAAACCTGTTGTATCCAAACCTTTCAGCAGGACGACAGCAACTTTGTATTTGCATTGAGCTGCATTTGAAAATCATTTTGATATTTGTGGCAGAGCAGTTTGGTCAAGATGTGGAGTTGTTCTGTGCTGGGGGCTTCTGAAGTTGTGGAAAACAATGTCACACGTCCCTGGCACTCGAGGAGGTGATGGTTAGGATGGTTTCAAATGGGATCTGCTCGTGGCATCCCACAGCTCCAGCCAATCGTTGATTTGTGAGCACGAGCTTTGTGGCTGGACACACTTATTGTGGCTCCAAGTGGTTCTGAATTCAACCTCTGTCCTGATCCTTTCCAAGGCTTGTTTCAGGAGGGCCAGCTGCCTTTTGCTGTGTAGCTGGCAGAAGATAACTGTAAAAACATGAAGTTTGTGGGCAGCTCCTCACTAATCTCTGCATTCCTGGTGCTCACTCATCCCTCACTGCCTGCTCCGGGCTCGAGGAAGCTGCTGCCCCTGATCACCCTCTGCTTTCCTTCCTGCCCTACCCAGGCACGTGTCCAAACACTTCAGCTTTGTTGCAGATTCCCTGCTCTTTGAGTTCCTGTTTTAGACACACTTGCATGACAGCAGGCAAGTTAAGCTGAACTGCTGGGCCTTGGCCTTACAGCTTAATTAAGTGATTTTTTTTTTTTCAAACTGTGGTGCAACTGAAGCTGTGGTGCTGCTCTGCCTGCCCTTGGAGAGCCTCCAGCTTTCTTTTAGGTGCAGATCAGGCAAGGGAAGTAAAATGTGTGTTTTACAGTGGTACTGTAGCGTTTCTCCCAATTCCCCAGCACTCTCCTCCCAGCCTGACCACCCAGGCTCTCTGGAGGGTTATGCAGCTTTCACTTTCCACACCTCAAAGGGAATTTCTCTTCCTTGTGCAGTTATTTTCTGCTGGATTTTAGTCCAGCTGGGGCTCGTGTGGTCCGGACTAAAGGGTTTGTGCTGATGTGTAGCACTGCCATGTGAGGGGAAGTGTAAGCTTGTGCTGACAGCCCACATCTCTGCACAGCTGAAGCTTCCAGAGGCGGCAGGAGTGAAATAAAAGCAGGTTTCATCTCCAGCGTGGCAGTCCTGCTGCTTCTTCCCACTTCTTGCAGCCCTCCCTCTCTGGGGAGTTGAACTTCTCCGAGCAGCATCTGAGAATCCGCGATGCCTCAGCCCGGGGTGATTCACAAACGAGTGTGACCTGTTGGTGGGGAGTGTCTGCCGTGCAGGAGCTGTGGAGTTACTCATTAGCTGCTCTGTGTGGATCCTGCTCAGCAGAAGGCTGCGCTACAACTCCGGGAATGGCACCAGAGGGATTTTCCTCCATGCCCCAGCACCCTCAGCCCCACACGCCCCGGCACAGCCTCGGCTCATTCTCACCCCAACCAAGCACTGAATTAGAAGGGCTGGTCTGGGTGCACGAGGTGCTGAGGGAGGGAGATGAAGCCGCTTTTCAATTTTCTGACCCACACCTAGCTCTCGGGTTGCCAGGCAGGAGGATTTCCCAGTTCAAAAAGGGCCTTGTTTCTGGAATAACTGGGGAGAGGAGTGCTCCAGAAGGCAACATCTGGCTGCCCAAGAGGAATCTCTGCATGGAAAGGAGAAGGTAGAAAAGAGGAGATAAAAACAGCTGTGGACATTGCAGGTGAAGGGAGAGAGGTGCTCTGAGGTGCTGAGATCCTGTTTTTAAACATCAGAGGATTTGATGGAGACGAGTGGGAGGTGCTGTGAGTAGAAGTGAGAGCTGTTATGCCAGCAGCATTAAAACCTCCTAAAATAATTGGTGTCACACCTCCAGCTCAATTTTCCTGAGTGTTTCACTTATCCAGAGCAATCATTGGCATTTTAGCTTGCTGGCATCTCTCAGCCAAGATCAGCTCTATCTAAAACCTCATTTTGTGTGGCTCCCCTGCTTTGTGAGACCCAGCGACATCCTGACCATGGGATGTCAAATCCCTGGAAATTGGGAATAACTCTCTGTGGATGAGCAGAAGTAACCTGCACAAAGCATTCCTGTGCCAAAAGCATGTTGTGGTTGTTCAGACATCCCTCTTGGCTGAACAGGAGATTATTTCTGCTCACAAATCTTGCCTTGCAGGTAGTCATCTCCTTGGATATTTAAATTTCATGCCAGCCAGGGCCATCTCCCTGTGGCAGGGATGCGTTTCACCCCCTCAAAGTCTCAGCTGACAAGCAGATGGAAAGCAGGCAGGATGGATAAGATGGACCTGATGTTCTTAAAGGCCTTTCCCAAAGTGAACAATTCAGTGCTGTCAGTGCTGTCCAATGCTGATTTATCTTGTGCTCTCTCCCTCCAGGACCCCTCAGTGACACAGCTCACAAATACCAGCCAAAGTGGCTTGGATGAATTCAACCCCTTTTCTGAGAGCTCTCAGCTGGTACGTGCCACGTGTCTTTGTGCTCTGTGTATACCTGGTGGTGGTTTTAGTGGTGTAGAAGGTCCCTTAGTAGGTGCAGCTTAAAAAACGAGGAATTCACAGCTGATTTCCCCATGCCTGTGGCTCATGCCATGCAGAAGTGGGCAATTGCTCCTGCACTGGAGCAGTAATAAGCTCCCAGCTGGAGCTCTCCACTCTCATGGAACAGCTCCTCTCCAGCTGGCTGCTGACTCCCAGGGAAGCCCCATGAAGTGTGAAGGGGAAGATGGTTTGTGGCAGGACACAGCAGGATTTATTTGCTCCCTGGGCTGCGAGCTGAGCTGCCCTGGTGCTGCCGTTGAGGGATGGCTGCGAGAGCCTCATCCTTATTCCCTGACTGCTGCTGTGAGCCAGGAGAGGAAGAGGGAGGGCAGGAAGCTGAGACTTGTGGTTTAAACAGTTCACTGAGTGCCTGTTGTGTTTCTCCTGCCATGTTTTCCCCTGGTTGCCTGTGGTCTCTTGCAGACGAATGCGGCGCGGACGACGCCGGCGGCGCAGCCCTCGGGCCACTCGCAGCCGGCCGTGCTGCAGACATCCGTGGAGCCCACGCCACAGGTACAGCCCCTCTCTGCTGCCCTCCCAGCCCCCTCGAGCTCCCAGGGCCTCTGGGAGCACAGGATTCCTTGGGGTGGTGACTGGGAAGCTGCAGGTGATCTTATCAACCTGCATTTCCAAGGCAGAGCTTTGTAGGGAATAGGCACGTACGGTCCTTATATTTCTTTCCCTGTCCCTCTGGTGGCAGAGCTTGCTTTGCCTTGTGTCCTGTTGGCTCTGGCTTCCCTCTGGAAATCCCAGAATGTGTCCTGCTAATACTTTTAGCTTAGTTCTGGTGTCTGACCAGACATGCTCAGTGCCAGGAGAATAAATGCAAGAATAAGTGCCAAGACCACCTCATCCAAAGGACTGAAGCTGCTGGGAGAAAGAATAATTTCTCAGAATATGAAACAGGTAGAAGAGATCCTTAAGAGGTGTGGCAGGCAGCTGGGAGGGGAATTGTCCTGGTAAGCCTAGGAACCCTGCTCACCATGCTGTTGTGAGGTGCTCAGAGCAGTGAGGTGAACGGTGAGGTAGAAGAAGCTGTGGATAAGCTCTTCCTCCCAGCCCAATCTTCCTGTAGGATAACTTGGTTTTGTCCTCCAGTGGCAGATTCGAGATGTCTGAGGCTGAGCTTTTGTGTCACCCTGTGCTCAGCTTCCTTCCCAGCCCAGCAGCAGGTGGTGCCATCACAGCCCAGGGCAGGGCTGACCTCTCTGATCTCTGTCCCCTCCCCAGGCTGTGGCTGCAGCAGCACAGGCAGGGCTGCTCCAGCAGCAAGCAGAGCTAGAGAGGAAGGCAGCTGAGCTGGAGAAGAAGGAAAGGGAACTGCAGAGCCACGCAGCCAGCATCGACCGTGAGTACTGACTCCTGCCCAGGGCAGCCTGGATCACTTCAGGAATTCAGGATTTCAGGAAAACTCCCTGTGGCAGCCCTTCTGGGACTGTGCCTGGCATCCCACAGCTGGGGAAGATGGGAAGGCAGCTCAGAGGTGGGATGCTGGAGGCCAGCTCTGGTGGGTCCCTGGCTTCAAGCAGCTTCATTTCACCACCAGAAGCTCTCAAGCACCGATCTGTGCCCGTGTCACAGCTGGTGGGTGACACTGCCACACTGAGGCTTCTCACTGAGAGCAGCAAAGCTCCTCTTCTCAGCCTCAAGGCTGTCTTAACCACAGAAACCCAATATTTTTCCCCCTAATCTCAGTTTGGAGTGGCTGAATCTGGGCTTGCAGGGCTGAGTGATGGTGGCTGTGATGGCCCTTTGGCCAGTGCAGGGGAATCCTGCCTTCCTCAAGGGAAAACCCCTGCACACGGCTGCTCTGCCAGCAGTTTATCCCATTCCTGCTGTGCTGCCTGCTCAGATGTAGGAGCTGCCTGACCCCTGGGCTCTGCCAAGGTTTTAATGCATGAATTAAACAATAGCTGAACAGCTGCTTGGAAATTCTGGGCTGGGAATTAGTCTTTGAAACAAGAGAAGAGCAAGTGAAGAGCTGCTCCTTCCTCTCTTCCACAGCGAGGCAGAACAACTGGCCGCCTCTCCCCAAGAGGTGTCCCATCAAGCCGTGCTTCTATCAGGATTTTTCTGCAGACATCCCAGCTGACTACCAGCGGATATGCAAGATGCTGTATTACTTGTGGATGTGTGAGTAACGACTTGAACTGCAGTCAGAATTCTTTTTGAGGAGGTTCTGTGTGAAAAGCTGAGCTCTGTCACACAATAAATGCTGTTGGCGTTGTCAGCAAGGCTAAAATCACATTTCCCTCCTTTCTTATGAAGGTAAATGTGAAGAACCCCCAAGTTTATGCTTTGGGAATAGCTCATTCATGACAGAAGTTTAATTGTTTAATGGAGGCTTGAACAACTATTTAAGATTTGACTGTGAGCAGCAGGATCAGATGAGCTTCTTGAGTCAAGCTCTGTTTCCCTTCCAAGGGAGGCAGGGAAACAAGATGGCCTGAAGTCACCTTCATTTCTGCAGCTCTCCATGTGTTCAGCGAGACATTAGGGATGCTTTGGAGTTTCCAAGAGCTTGCTGATGTTGTTTTTCTCTCTCTCCCACGCCAAACAGTGCATTCCATCACCCTGCTCCTAAACCTGCTTGCTTGCCTGGCATGGTTCACAGTCGACAAAAGCAGAGGAGTGGACTTTGGTCTCTCGATTCTGTGGTTAATTTTATTCACCCCTTGTGCCTTTCTCTGTTGGTACCGACCAATTTACAAGGCTTTCAGGCAAGTGCTGGGTTTTTTTTTTTTTCTGTGACAGGGTTGTATCTCTCAGTGGGAGGAGCTTTGGGTTTATCTGTTCCCATCATGTATTGCCCGCAGGATTTTTCCAGTGCTTTGCATCATTAGATAAACCCAAACCACTGTGTTGCTAAACATATTAGATCTGTCTAATAGAACTTAACTATGGTGATCCTTTTTCATCCTGAAATCCAAGCCTAGGCAGACATAGGGTGCTTTTAATTGATTTTTTTATTCACTTTATTGATTTCTGAGACACTCTTTGATACATTGGTGTTGAGCACACTGAGTTTGTTGAGGGAGCTGCCTTCACCCCATCTTGCACTGGGCAGAGCACTGGATTTGCAGTGGACACATTTGGGTGCCCAAATTCCTCCCCAAATCACCTCCCCTCAGCAGCTCTTCCCTGGAGAAAGGAGTTCACTGAAGCTGTTCCTCTCCTCTCAGAGCATGGATTCAGTGCAGGGATCACGGGTTTCACTCCTGTTGCCATCTCTCCCGCAGGTCTGACAGCTCCTTCAGCTTTTTCGTCTTCTTTTTCATCTTCTTCTGCCAAATAGCAATCTACATCATCCAGGCTGTCGGCATTCCTGGCTGGGGAGACAGGTAATCTTGGCTTCGCTGCCTGCCGTGTCACAGATCCCTTTTCTCACCAGGGCTGTGACTGACAGGAGCTTTGGGGCCTGGTTCTGACAGCTGCTTGTTCTTCCTGCTGTGGTTTTCCTCTCTCAGCCCATGCAGAGCCTTGGCAGGTCCCAGCTGGGCTGCCTGCCTCCCCTGCTCTTCCCATCCTAATCCCGGTATGTGAAGGAGTATGAGAAGGGGAGTATGTGAATTACCAGATATTGGGCAGAAATCCTTCCCTGGGAGGGAGGTGAGGCCCTGGCACAGGCTGCCCAGAGCAGCTCTGGCTGCCCCATGATCCCTGGCAGTGCCCAAGGCCAGGCTGGATGGGGTTTGGAGCACCCTGGGGTAGTGGAATGTGTCCCCACCCATGGCAGGGGATGGAATGTGATGAGTTTTGAGGCCCCTTCCAACAAACCATTCTGTGAGAACTCTTCTGTGCCTCTTCTGCTGCCCTCTCCCTCACTCAGTACAGATCATATTTGCTCCTCTAGTGTGAACCAGATCTGCCTTGTTTAAACTGGAGCCTTCCCTGACAGCAGTGTGGGGCTGAGGGATCTCTGACCTGAAATCTGGGTACTTCTCAGCCTGGTACTGCTGCTCCCACCCTGACTCTGTCCCCAAACTCTTCCCGAATTTCTCTGGAACGTGTGCTTGGTGGGCTGAGATAAGCAGAGAGAGCTTTTAGCCTCGCCCTTTCTCGGTGACATTGTCCAGAAGGGTGAGCTTGGGCTTCTGGAGCGGGTCCAGCAGCCTCGTGTCAGCAGCTGTGCCCTGCAGGGAGAGCACAGCCTTTCCTTTCGCCTTGCTGCCTTGGCTGCAGCTCCCGTTCCGGAGTTACGGAGCGCAGGAAAAAGGTTAGCAGCCCGTGGTGCTTCTCCCGAGGGGAAGCCTCCAGGTGGGAGCTGCTGCCTATTTTTACCCTTTGCCTGCAGAAGGGCTCGTGGGCAGAGCTGTCCCTGGCCTTCCCCCCGTGCTTGAGTCACGGGGGATGGAGAGAGAGGGGGTTCAGTCTGGCTTGGAGAGGCTGTCTGGAGCTTTCTGCTCCGTTTCCTCCCGCCAGACAGCGCGGATATTTTTGGCTGCAGTGCGTGGTGTGCCTTTCCGCTTCCCTGTGCCGTGAGGAGCAGTGCCACACATCGAATGGGACCCATTTCCTCTCTCCTGCTGGCACTCGGCGTGCTTGGTTGAGCAGTTGGAAAAGTTCTTTTCTCCAGCACCCAGGAAGGTGTTCTGAGTGAGGTGTCTTGGTATTTTCATCCAAGTGCTGGTAACTCCTTGAGTTCTCCCTGCCCCTTCCCTTCAGCAGCTCCCAGTGCCTGTAACATGGAATTGTGGAATCACAGAATGGTTTGGATTGGAAGGGACCCTAAAACTCACCTAATCCATGGGCACAGACACCTTCCACTATTTCAGGTTGTTCCAAGCCCTGTCCAGCCTGGCCTGGGTCATTTCCAGGGATGCAGCAGCCGCAGCTGCTTTTTGCAAACTGTGCCAGGGCTTCACCACCTCCATCCTTTCCTGCCTCTTCCTCCCACTCCCGACCCTTACATCCCTTACACTCAGGTCCAGCCTCCAGACCTGCCAGCTGATCTCTTCCAATTTAACTTTCTAGCCTATCTTTACCCCACTTGGCTGAACTTTGAGAAGGTGCCCAGGGAAGTCACTGCTGGCGCCAAGGGTATTGATTGTGCTGCCTGAGGGGAGGGCACAGGGCTGGAACGTGGGTGGGATGAGCACAATCCTCCTCTAAAAATGCAAATGGAAACTCTATCTCCAAAACCAGGGCCTGGATGAACTCTGGTTTTGTACTCCCCTGTAACCTTCCCCTAGAGCAGCTGTCCCTCGGTGCTCCAGCTGTGCTGGAATGCTGTCCATGCTCACCCTGCTCTCCTCTCCCTGGCAGCGGCTGGATTGCGGCGCTGTCGGAGGTGCACGGGAACCTTGCCGTGGTGGTGATCATGATGGTGGTGGCAGCGTTCTTCACGCTCTGCGCTGTCCTCTCCCTCTTCCTCCTCAAGCAGGTGAGTGGCTCGGGGGCCAGCAGAGCTCAGGCTGCTCCCAGGGGTCCTGGGTTTGACTCCTCCCTTCCCTGATGACGGGAGCAGGACAGTGGTGGGTCAAGAGGTTTTAATTAAAAGTACTTTTGCTTGTGTTCCCTGCATTGATGTCAAATTTCTTGTACACTCTTGAAGTGGGAAGTAGCCTCCCTTTGGAGTCATAGAATCATGAAATGATTTGGGAAGGGACCTTAGAGCTCATCTTACCCCCCTGCCAAATGCAGGCACACTTTCCACTATCCCAGGTTGCTCCAAGCCCCATCCAGCCTGGCCTGGAACATTTCCAGGGATCCAGGGGCAGCCACTGGGAAACCTGTGCCAGGGTTTCACCACTGTCACAGAGAAGGATTTTTCTCCTGATATCCCATCTAACTCTGCCCTCTGGCAGTTGAAAACCATTGCCCCTTGTCCTGCCTGGAGCTGGCAGAGCTGGTTGTGGCTCTGTTCAGCATCCAGGGATTTTCTGTCACTGCTCCCACAGCATTGTGGGGCTTCTCAGAGCCTGCTGGGATCCCAGTGAGTGCCTTCCCACCGGTTCCTAAACCCAACCCTCCTCCTTTCTCCTGCCTGACAACAGCAGGGCTGGATTTCTGCAGGAACAGCAGAAATGGAGCTTGGGGGAAGGCAAGGACAGGCTGGTCTGATCCTGCTTTTATTGGTACTTCCTTCTTTTCTCCTGCATTTCTCTTGAAGGAAATACCTGATGCTGTTGGCACCTTCAGGTCCTGCCCTCCAGTAAGTAAATACTGGGTTAAGTCTGAGCCATCACAGCGTGGCGAGTTTTGGGTCTGAAAGCAGCTATTTTGCTGAGAACTCCACATTTTTCATCAAATGAAATCCGCAGCATCCCGTGCTGGGAGCCATGGAGCCGCTGGCTGCAGCCCATCCTCTCCAGCTGTCAGGGGAGGCAAGGCAAGGCGAGGTGTGTGCAGCAGCCCCAGTTTCATTCACTCTTTTCCCTCCCCTCTTGTTCCCAGGTGCATTCCCTGTATCGGCGCACAGGAGCCAGCTTCCAAAGGGCCCAGGAGGAGTTTTCCCAAGGCATCCTCACCAACAGGAGCTTCCAGAACGCAGCGGCCGGGGCAGCCTCCTCAGCTGCACAGAGTGCTTTCCGGGGAAACTAGCCCTTCCCAGGAAATCCAGCCCTTCCCAGGAAAACCAGCCCTTCCTGGGCTGCCTCCCTCGCTTCCTCTGCCCTCGTCTCCTCAACCTTCATTTATTATTATTTTTTTCTCTAAAAATGCACTTTTTGGGGGTACCACGTGAGCTCTGTGATGCCGACACTCCTGATGAGAAGAGGTTTTTTTCTAACTTCTGCTGAGCTACAGTTTGGATGATTAGTTTTCCCTGTCTTGTTTTAGGGTATGGGGAGATGGGGGAGGACATTCTCTGAGGCAAATATTCCTCTCTCCAGGACCTTCTGGGTGTTTGTCTCTTCTTCCCCTCACTCTGTCTGTAGCAGGAAAACGAGGGGAAACAGGTTTTTGATTTTACTCTCTCTCTTCTCTCGGCCTTTGCTACGAAGAATTTGATTATCTGCTGTTTTGGGAGGGTTTTGTAACGTGCATGTAGTTGATGTGGTTGATTTTAAGAACAGAAACCGTACTTTTGGTTTATTACGCTCACACGATGCTGTATTTTGACCTCGTAACTGCTGGGCTTCCTGAGAGCCAGGACAAGGTGGCACGAAGGAGAATCTGGGAGCAGGGAGGAGTGTGTGGGGGGCTGTATTTCCCCTGGTCCCCCCAGGGCACATCCCTTGCTTCTGCAAGCATCCCGCAGATGGGGATCCGGCCCTGGGCACGGAGAGGGGGAGAAGGGATCAGTGGAGGCTGAGTCTTCTCAGTGACCTGAAAGCAGGAGAGGGATGGGAAAAGGGATTTTGGTTTGGCTCCCAGCCCCAGGTTGGGGCAGCTGAGGTTGCCAGGTCACACAGTGCCTGTGCCGCCCTTCTCTAACTAACCTTGAATGAGTCTTTCTCCAGGGAAGGCTCCTCCCTGCCTTTCCTCCTCACCAGTTTGATCTTTTTTTTAGCTGGGAAGGAACTGTTGTGATGTGTGTTCAACTGCATCCCGAAATGGGATGTCCCTTGGGACGCGGGGGAGGCGCCGGGGTGGATGGGGGCAGATTCCCACCTCCCCCTCTTTCAGCCCCGTGTTTTGGGTGTCGGGGAGGGGGCTTCACGCAGGTTTGGCTTTGTGGTGCCCCTTTGCCGGGGTGAGGGTTGTATTACACCCCCATCCTGTGCTGGTGAGGGGCAGCAGGGGGACGCTGGGATACAGAAATCGGTATTTTTACACCCTTTTCCTCCTGTATTATTGTTTTTTTTTTTTTTCCCCTCCCCGCGTCTGATCTTTTAATGTTTAAAAAATGATTAATAAAAAATTGTTCATGCGGTCCAGATGCGGTGTCCGTGCCGGCGGAGGGGGCGTGGTCATCATTGGGGCGGGGCTGTGGGCGTGGCCAGGATGAATGGGCAGGTCTAGAGGGCGTGGCTTGTCTAGCGGATGAAGGGAGTGGGCGT